TTACAGACAAGCTTTATCCAAGGAGATCCAGCTCTTGAAGTTGGGAAAGTGGTGCCTCTTCGGTTTTCGAACAAGCAATCCTGTCGGGGATCTGGCTCTCGAGATTCGGAGAACGATGCCTCTTCGATTTTTGAGAAAGCAATCCTGCTGGGGGTCTGGCTCTCGAGATTCGGAGAGCGGTGTCTCTTCGATTTTTGAGAAAGTAATCATGTTGGGAGTCTGGCTCTCGAGATTCGGAGGGCGGTGCCTCTTCGATTTTGGAGCAAGCAATCTTGTTGGGAGTGTTTTCTCGAATGTGAGTAAAAGGTTGGGCATGTTTGCTAGTCTACCTTGCCACGAAGCACAGAGGTTGACACACAGGGACTTTCCAATTATCCAGCAGTGGTACTGTTCCTTTACCCTCTCTTCGATTTTTGAGAAAGTAATCATGTTGGGAGTCTGGCTCTCGAGATTCGGAGGGCGGTGCCTCTTCGATTTTGGAGCAAGCAATCTTGTTGGGAGTGTTTTTCTCGAATGTGAGTAAAGGTTGGGCATGTTTGCTAGTCTACCTTGCCACGAAGCACAGAGGTTGACACACAGGGACTTTCCAATTATCCAGCAGTGGTACTGTTCCTTTACCCTTGTGGGTAATAATATGGTAGCTAGACCTTCAAAATTTATGTGTCTAAACTTTGTTAGTGTTGTTTCTTTGCTATTCTTTTACCCTTCTTGGTCAGAGCGATGTAGTGGGAGCTGCAAGCTTCACGTGTCTCAACTTTGTCAGAGAACTTTGGCAAAGTTATCTGTGGTACCCATGAGCTACTGTTGCGTGTGGGAAGTGGGTGATTGAACAGTAACGATTCATGTGCTTTCTACTTCGCCAGAAATCTTCGACAGAATGCCCATAATTTCCGCAAAGCTGAGTGTGCGTGTGACAGGTGCTGACAAGGCTGGAAAAGTAGGTGCCTCTTCGATTTCTGAGATCGGCCCTCGTGGTCTCTGAGCAGCCCAGCTTTTGAGAAAGCAAGCGCCTCTTCGATTTCTGAGATCGGCCTTCGTGGTCTTTGAGCAGCCCAGCTTTTGAGAAAGCAAACGCCTCTTCGATTTCTGAGATCGACCCTCGTGGTCTCTGAGCAGCCCAGCTTTTGAGAAAGCAAACGCCTCTTCGATTTCTGAGCAGGCGCCTCTTCGATTTCTGAAGCTTCGTCGAGTGCAGATTTTTATAGGGGCTGACATTAAGTTCCAAAGCACACTTGAATATCCACCAGTAGAAGCTCCATTCTTGCACTTCTAAGATCTTGATTTGTCCGACCTCTTCTCTCTTCAACACCTTTGAAAATGTCTGGCCCCTCCGACCGTCGTTTTGACTTGAACCTTGTTGAAGAGGCAGCCCCGCCTTCTCCAGACAACATATGGCGCCCATCCTTCGTCTCCCCTACTGGTCCTCTTACCGTTGGGGATTCCGTGATGAAGAATGATATGACCGCTGCGGTAGTGGCCAGGAACCTTCTCACTCCCAAAGATAACAGACTACTTTCCAAACGGTCTGATGAGTTGGCTGTTAAGGATTCTCTGGCTCTCAGTGTTCAGTGTGCAGGTTCTGTGTCTAATATGGCCCAACGCCTATTTGCTCGAACCCGCCAAGTTGAATCATTGGCGGCTGAAGTGATGAGTCTCAAACAGGAGATTAGAGGGCTCAAGCATGAGAATAAACAGTTGCACCGGCTCGCACATGACTATGCTACAAACATGAAGAGGAAGCTTGACCAGATGAAGGAATCTGATGGTCAGGTTTTACTTGATCATCAGAGATTTGTGGGTTTGTTCCAAAGGCATTTATTGCCTTCGTCTTCTGGGGCTGTACCGCGTAATGAAGCTCCAAATGATCAACCTCTGATGCCTCCTCCTTCTAGGGTTCTGTCCAGTACTGAGGCTCCGAATGATCCCCCTCCGGTGCCTTCTCTTTCTGGGGCTCTACCGACTGCTGAGACTTCTCCTAAGCAACCTTTGTGAAGGCTCCCTCTTGTTTGTTTATTTTGACTCAAGTATATGTACATATTTGTAACTTATCGGGGATATCAATAAATAAGCTTTCCTTCATTTCAACGTATTGTGTTAAATACACCAAAGCCTTCTTCGCTAAGTTCTTTGAATTTTCTTTTGTTGAAGCTTTGTGAGTGGAGCATGTAGGTTGAGGTAGTGTTCCCTTAATTTCCCGAGTGAGGAAAACTTCTCGGTTGGAGACTTGGAAAATCCAAGTCACTGAGTGGGATCGGCTATATGAATCTTAGAACGCCATTGTGTTCTGTCCTGTGTCATGTCCTCCGTTAGATCCAAGTACTCTAAGTCTTTTCTTAGGGTCTCTTCCAAAGTTTTCCTAGGTCTTCCTCTACCCCTTCGGCCCTGAACCTCTGTCCCATAGTCGCATCTTCTAATCGGAGCGTCAGTAGGCCTTCTTTGCACATGTCCAAACCACCGTAACCGATTTTCTCTCATCTTTCCTTCAATTTCGGCTACTCCTACTTTACCCCGGATATCCTCATTCCTAATCTTATCCTTTCTCGTGTGCCCACACATCCAACGAAGCATCCTCATCTCCGCTACACCCATTTTGTGTACGTGTTGATGCTTCACCGCCCAACATTCTGTGCCATACAGCATCGCCGGCCTTATTGCCGTCCTATAAAATTTTCCCTTGAGCTTCAGTGGCATACGGCGGTCACACAACACGCCGGATGCACTCTTCCACTTCATCCATCCAGCTTGTATTCTATGGTTGAGATCTCCATCTAATTCTCCGTTCTTTTGCAAGATAGATCCTAGGTAACGAAAACGGTCGCTCTTTGGTATTTCTTGATCTCCGATCCTCACCCCTAACTCGTTTTGGCCTCCATTTGCACTGAACTTGCACTCCATATATTTCTGTCTTTGATCGGCTTAGGCGAAGACCTTTAGATTCCAACACTTCTCTCCAAAGGTTAAGCTTTGCATTTACCCCTTCCTGAGTTTCATCTATCAACACTATATCGTCTGCGAAAAGCATACACCAAGGAATATCATCTTGAATATGTCCTGTTAACTCATCCATTACCAACGCAAAAAGGTAAGGACTTAAGGATGAGCCTTGATGTAATCCTACAGTTATGGGAAAGCTTTCGGTTTGTCCTTCATGAGTTCTTACGGCAGTCTTTGCTCCTTCATACATATCCTGTATAGCTTGGATATATGCTACTCGTACTCCTTTCTTCTCTAAAATCCTCCAAAGAATGTCTCTTGGGACCCTATCATACGCTTTTTCCAAATCTATAAAGACCATGTGTAAATCCTTTTTCCCATCTCTATATCTTTCCATCAATCTTCGTAAGAGATAGATTGCCTCCATGGTTGAGCGCCCTGGCATGAACCCGAATTGGTTGTCCGAAACCCGTGTCTCTTGCCTCAATCTATGCTCAATGACTCTCTCCCAGAGCTTCATTGTATGACTCATTAGCTTAATACCCCTATAGTTCATGCAATTTTGTACGTCGCCCTTATTCTTGTAGATAGGCACCAAAGTGCTCGTTCGCCACTCATTTGGCATCTTCTTCGTTTTCAAAATCCTATTGAAAAGGTCAGTGAGCCATGTTATACCTGTCTCTCCCAAAACTTTCCACACTTCGATTGGTATATCGTCTGGGCCTACTGCTTTTCTATGCTTCATCTTCTTCAAAGCTACAACCACTTCTTCCTTCCGGATTCGACGATAAAAGAGTAGTTTCTACACTCTTCTGAGTTACTCAACTCCCCTAAAGAAGCACTCCTTTCATGTCCTTCATTGAAAAGATTATGAAAATAACCTCTCCATCTGTCTTTAACCGCGTTCTCTATAGCAAGAACCTTTCCATCCTCATCCTTGATGCACCTCACTTGGTTTAGGTCCCTTGTCTTCTTTTCCCTTGCTCTAGCTAGTTTATAGATATCCAACTCTCCTTCTTTGGTATCTAGTCGTTTATACATATCGTCGTAAGCCGCTAACTTAGCTTCTCTCACAGCTTTCTTCGCCTCTTGCTTCGCTTTTCTATACCTTTCACCATTTTCATCAGTCCTATCCTTGTATAAGGCTTTACAACATTCCTTCTTAGCCTTCACCTTTGTTTGTACCTCCTCATTCCACCACCAAGATTCTAAAGTGGCAGTATAGCAATAAAAAAAAATGTTCTGGTTTTGTAGTTGGTCTCTTTCTTCCTTGCTTGAAGTATATATTTTGAATGTTAAAGAATAGAAACTCACAACTTACACAACATAGACAGCATTTGACCCATAAAACTCAACCTTGATTAAATTAACTGCAAATTGAGGATATCTTAAATCTGCAAGGGCCTTATAGCGCAAGTGGTTAAGAGAATTTATCCTTCCACTTGAGATTTTATGTTCGATTTCTTCTCCCCCACTATCCCTTGTATCAAACAACAAAATCTTATACTTGTTTAAAATACCTGCGAGACATCTAGTTTCACAGATAATGCCCCAGAATATAGTTTAAATCGGTTAAACTTTTCGAGAATCAAGAGCCAAGGAAAGATGGTTGAACAATATTTAGGCTCAATAGTTAATATAAAAGACATTGTTTTTTTGGGAAAAAAAAAATCCATTCTTTTCTTCCACTAAATTTCTTGGCTGCTACAATTTGGAATTCTTTTTACCCAGAGAACTTATAGCTCAAGTGATTACTAGTATTTTAATTTACGAATTATGTATTTACCTCCACACTAAAGATCATGTGTTTGATTCCCCATCTCCAATGTCGCCTTCCTGAATGACTTCAATCGACTTTTATGCAACAAACTTGTAGCTCAAACGATAACAGGGGGAGGCCATTCACATCTACACCAGTGGTCTTGCGTTCACCTTCCCCAGTTTTCCTGTGTTCGATTCCTTCCTTCCCAATGTCGCTTCGTATAAAGGAGAAAAAGGCCAACATTCCCTTCAATATTTTCAACTACTAAATATTTTGCATCATTTATTCGAAACAGTGAAAAGTATTGAGAGGGAACAAATCTGCTTAAAAATGCGAAAAAAATCTGCTCATGTGGCTCGTACAAACGGCCTTTATAAAACTAGCCAAAAAGTAATTATACAAAATGTGACAAGTGAAGAAAACAAAAAGACAACAAAAGGCTTGAGAACAAGTTCCCAGCTCTCCACAAGAATATCAAATTCCCAGTAATTTGTTTATTGTAATGAATAAAAAATTGTATCCGAGTAGACCTTCGATGTTGCCTCAGTTCCCTTTTCAGCAGTGTGAGTCAGTTGCTTGTTGATCTTTACATGATCCGACGGACATTCATTACTTCGCAAACAGAAATGTTCATGGAAAAACGACTGAACGAGCACCAATTTGTTGCCAAGCAGGATACAGGATTTACAGGTCCAACTATAACCTCATTTCTCTTCAAAAGTTTCAGTGGACGAAAGTCTCTCATCCAAATCTCCCAGCAGATCATGGTATTCAGTAAATGCAGGATGTGACTGAAAAGCATATATCAATAGAGGACAACATCAATCTAGAGACACACAAAGGCAAGGAATGTGGATGCTGGTTTTTTGGTCGAATGTGGACACTGCTTAAAGCAATAAATACCTGCAGGGTGATGCTATATGCTTTCCACAACCGCATGTCGTGCTGGAAGAGATCGAATAGAACCTGTGCAAATTTCACAAAATAAATGCCTGGTCAGACAAAGTTCCATCTTACAAAGTTGGCATTACTCGCGGTCAAAAGGTCATCTTGAATGCATCTAGCCTCTTCTACAGAAATTTCAACAAAAATATGCCTCGCTCAAATGTGGAAATGTGCAAATTTGGCAGTTAACCTATGATGCACCGATGCTTCAAATTTGGACAAGGGTGAGTATCGGATACTTACACCCCCATGATAACTTCCGATACGTAAATGGAGCATCGTTGACTTTTTTGTGTTGTTGACTATCTGATGCTTCTTGGATACTCCGAGGATATGAGCAAGATACTCCCAGGATACCGTCAAGATACTCCTAAGATATTGATCTAAGAATTTGGGGGCTTGTAGTTTCTAAATTCCGTTCTTGTTGGTTTGGTAGACTCACCAGGATGTTTACAGATGGATGTAGCCCCATAGGGCAAGGATAATCAATCCAAGAGGCCCAATTCAAGAATCAAAAAGACTAAGCAGTGTTCTATTTTGTTAATGTTAAAAGATAAACATGAATGTTTCACTTTTTTTTATTTAACGTATATAATGAAACATATTTTAGAAAATATATTATTCAATTGTCGTATCCTTGCCGTATCGTATCCTTGTTTTTTAGAAATTCGCAGTATCGGCATACGTATCTACCGGATACCCCCACCCATATCTGTATACGTGCACCATAGCAGTTAATTGTAAGATTATGCAGCTCTTCTCACCAGAACAATCCAGAATCTGTTAGCTTGAAGTTAGGTGAAAACATGACCTAAATAAAAGATGATCCTGACCTCAGCACCACTTATCATTGACCATGAGCTGAAGGCTATACTCCATCTTGTCCATAAAAGTGTTTCCTAAATGCCAATGGAATTATAGACTTCAAACTCTAACACAAGGATTACACCCTTTAAATCATACACTTCTGGGCTCTCAGCGCCTATCGACTGGGCAACGACTTTAAACGATTTAACATTGCACAAGTATATAAATGCTACGAGAAAGCTATTATGATGAATTTCATTCATGATTCATACTAAAGGAACTCAAGCATCGGGACAAAAGTATGATGTCAAACTTTCCCAGATTTACGCAAGCTAAGCTCTTGGCCAAGTTGAACCTAACAAGTTTAGAACTAGCTATTTTGGTTCCTTCCTATCATTCAGAAATCAGAGTGAATAAAATGAGCAAAACAAATTACAATGATGTTGGCATGCTCATCATATGGCATATAGACTTGTGAGAAATGAAACGAATTATACCTCAGATCGCCTTAAAAGGGTGGCCAGGACAACAATCCACTCTTTGAACTTGACAGAGCACATATGTGCCAAAAGGAATTCTGCATCAAACCGGCTCTGAAGTGTACCCATTTGGAGCTGGAAAAAGATAACCGTGTTCAGTCAGTGAGGCAAAACACAACTTCTGTAACATGTGACAATGTGGCTTAAATTCTTAACAAAAATAAAAGAAAAAAAAATAACACTAGAATAAAGGGATTTTCAGATGCTGATGCCTTTTGTCCTATTAATTCCAGCCCTGAAGCAAAATTCTCCAGCCGAGCACTTCCATTTCTCTCTCTTTGAAGATATTCCTGGCATAAATTGATAGAACAACTTAGAATCACTTGATTATAAAAGCAAGATCATCCTAATAAGTAATGATAACTGCAAGCTTATCTTACCACTAAATCAAACTGAGTGCCTTTCACAAATGCAACTAGCTTTGAGAGCTCTTTGCCTGACATCAAAAAGTTAGCATGGCTTTCTAAGATACTCTTCACGGAAGCAACATGTGCGTTCTGCTCCTTAAATGAGGTACTGCTCGTAAGGAATGCCTGGTTAGTCTCCATTAAAAGCTAGGTCTGAGAGATGCAAAACAGTACATAAGTGTGCACCAACCTCTTATCCAAGGACTGCTTTCTGAAATTAGTACGGAAACCAAAATAGCCCAAAATTTTGGGAGATAGTCCATCTGAATCTGTTGATGGCTGTTCATATTCCCTTCCCGATCTCAGCAAGAACCTCACCTAAGAGTCAAACAAAGTTAGTATTATCCCCTTTACAGCTATCATCACCTGAACTAAAAGTACAGGAACTTGTCCAGACAGATACCAGCTCCCCAGCGAGTTCATATAACGATTCATCAAGTGTTGCCTGCATATGTTTGACAACCCTTGTAAGGAACATCTATCATTGAAAAGAAAAGAACAAAAAAGAAACACAGAGATACACACTCAATAGCAAGAGAAATCCTTGTAAAACAATAAGCTACTACCAGACATCTACCTGTAGTAAACGCAAAGCACAATATTGACTGACTGCAGGACCTTCAAGCTTCGCAATGACCTGGGCAATTCAAACAATTGGATTATTATACATAAGCATCACAGGTTAGCCATCTTTTACTACATTTTCTCCCATACAGATTGGTTTTTCACATTTAGCAAGTGTTGCAGAAAGTATAGGCACAGCCTTTGTAACCACAACACAAGTAGACAGGATTTCATGATGTATACTTCATAGTTTCAAGATTTTCTAATAAGGAAAAAACTTATGTCAAAAGTGAAAGGAAAAGACAAGAAACTGAAGCAGAATAATAATCTATTCAATATCTTACAAGTATATAGCAGGCAGCAGTCCGGTACCATCTACGTTGGAAGCATTCCTCAAACAACCTGAAAATTGAAAGCAGATAACATTGTTAATTTAAAATCTGACAGCAGCACACTGAACAAAATATTAAAATGTAAAACTTTAATTACAGGTCAGTTAGCCAATTATATATCAAGTGGATCATATGACGTAGCAACCACTGAATGTTTGTCAGGCAGTAGGTCAGCAGTTGGTAATTATGATGGTATAAACCTATCCAAAGAAAGTTCAAAGATCCTTGAATCAAATTCATTTTCCAGGGTTCTGTAATTTGTGGAAGTTTTCCTTTTCTAAAGGAAAAAAATTAAAAACAGCATCCATGGTCTCTAAAATAGACATCAGATAAAGGACATTTCAAATATAAAGTTGACTAATGAGATCATTTTTTTCTTCTGTCTATTTATTACTGAAATTTCACTTTCATGCATGACAATGATGCAAGACTTCTGTATTGCATCAGTATCCTTGTTACAGAAGTTCTAGGTATATTTGTTTTATACACAGCAAATGAAAAGCAATGTTATTTCAAATCAAAAGGCAAAAGAAAAGAAAAGAACAAAACATGAGAAGCAAAGAAAAAGTACTCTGTTGATCTCCCAGCAGCAGAGAACAAATCCGCCCAATGTCGACCATCAGTTTTTCTTGCAACACTGACGACCACATCAAAATATTCTGGAAAATTTCTGAGCAAATCACAGGTCTTCTCTAAGAGAGTTGGACTCTTTGCAAATCTAGGGACAGAGTTCTGATTCTTGTTTACATTTTGCCTGGAAATAGGCATACACAGTGATTAACATATAGACAGAATAATTACATATAAAAGTAGAATTGACTAATGACAATTTAGAGTGGAATTTGAACTTCAGAATGTGATCATGAGCGAAGAAATGATGAACGAATTGCAAAAGGAACGCAGAATTTATCTTGATTATGATATTAGATTAGTACAGGACACCAGGGGGAACAGCCAAGTACCCGAATTCACTAAAACACCTAGAACAATTCATTTCTCAATTATCAATCATCTCAGTTTACCAAGTTCAATGGGCTCACATGCTACTAAATTCCCTTCAAAATATAACTGGTTCAAGAGGAGGAAAGCACCTATATTGGCCATTTAATCATTAATGATAAACATAACACGTAACCTGCTTTTTTCCTGGCCACCACCTAAACTAGAGTTGAGTGGGTTGTGTCGCACTATATGACCCGACAGCCCATCACAGATCTTTCAGTTAAGCAGAAGTTATACCCACAATGAGATGGTTCTCTTGGGAAACCAAGTAAAAAGTAACTCCCAGTATTTATGGTTCCAAGAAAGCTATTATAGATAATGATTCTCCTTAATTAGTTAATATGAAAGCAGAACTGATGATCAATGCAGCTATGATTTTGTTTTCCCTAATTAGGCATTCCTGGATATTTTCGCATCCAAAACATAACAGATACTAATTTATTTCCCTCTTTAGACATACCCGGATATATCGGCATCAAACACAGTAAAGAGAAGCCACTCCAAACAATGAGAAAAATGAGGCTTTTCTGCTGATAACTGGGCCAACCTTAAAGCTTCCTCGCTTTTGTCCCTCTAGCAGATAGAAACAAAACAACCAGGAAGAATATTTCAAAACCAAGCACAGGACTATATGCATCACACTCAAGCTTGTCAAAAGAATATTTCATTGGTACTGATCATGTAACAAACATACAACTCCAATTCTCCTGTGGCCTTTAAACTTGATATAACTACAAGTCTCTAGGCACTGACCATGTACGGATCATGTAGATTTCATAAATTCTACCCAATTGCCTAGTTTGTTAACACATGATCAGTATTGCAAAGCAAGCATAGATCACACACCCATTACAACCTATTTGCAGATTATGATTTGCAGATGCATATATTACACAATAAAACAAATCAGATTCAAGCCACCTTTTACTACACAAGAAAATCATGCCAAAGACCATGTAGATTTCGTAAAGTCTACCCAATTGCCTACTTTGTTAACACATGATCAGTATTGCAAAGCAAGCATAGATCACACACCCTTTACAACCTATTTGCAGATGCATATATTACACAATAAAACAAATCAGATTCAAGCCACCTTTTACTACACAAGAAAATCGTGGCAAAGGCTAGTAGCCTGTGAGTCCAGAACTCAAGGTAACCTCTGTAAGATGAGATCCAATATGATAAGCACCTTCCACTCAAAATCAAAGAAATAAAAAACAATTAGTACCTGAATAAGGTGCCTCAGAAGGCAATGCAGTATAGTTTGAGCTTGAGGAGTTGGCTCAAAACATGGAAATTCTGTGCTGGCAGAAAATGACATTCTCTGGGAAACGCCAACAACAACACCAGCATTTGGAAGAAGTCCCAGAGGGTATACCTCACGATCAAATTCAAGTTCCGGATCCAACTACAAAACTATGCTGAGTCATTTAACCAATCAGAGTAAAAAGACAGGCCAAACTATATCAAGTTCCACTAAGCTTTAAAAGAAAGACAAGTTATCAAATATAAAAGTCTTCAAAGTAAGGCCAAACAAACAGACATTGAAACAGCGTGTAAAGACCAATGTATTAAAAGCGTAAGGCGCGGGCGAGGCGTCCGAGGCGAAGCCCGGCCTAGGCATGAGGCGTGAGGCGTGAGGCGAAGCCTTACGGGATTAAATTTTTTTTTATATATATGTTTTATGTATTATACATATAATTGTACAAAAATTAATACTACATAAAATAAACATCCATTCTCAATTTTTTATTCAAATCCATAGTCATTCAAAAGATAATATCATCTAAATTCATCATTCAAAGGTAATATCACCCAAATTCATCATTCAAAAGGTAATACAAACAAAGAAAACAATCATTCATCCAAATCTTTCCTAACTGCATGCTATTAAAGAAACAAAGTAAGAAAAAAACAAAGTACAACACATTAAGCAAAATCTTTCCTCACTGCATGCTATTAAAGAAAAAAAACAAAGTAATTCCACACAAAGGTTTGCAAATAAATAAAGAAAATAAATAAAATAATTCCACTAGAAGCATCGATTCATTTCTGCCTAAACACATAAAACTTTATCACAACTCACAAGTTCTACAAGTTATAAAGGCCCTAAACAATAAAACCCAGCCCTACAACTACAAGTCATACGATTCTGTTCTGCGGCTGCCTAAACAATAAAACCCTAATCTTAAATTGGGGATTTCTGGGCTTCCTGATGGTGCTGTGGCGATGGCGGCAGGGTGATCACGGTGTGGCGACGGTGGCGTGGCGACTGGGAGAGGACGGCGCCTGGGGTGACAGCGGCTGTGTTCTGGGCCTCTGGCGCACGGGAGAAGAAGGTGAGGAAAGGGATCAAAGTCTTCGAAGGTATGGGGTGGAATCTGTTATCTGTATTTTGTACCCAAGTCTAAAAACCTTACCCAAACGGCATCGTTTTGGGTTTGGGTGGTTTTTCTTAAAAAAATAAAAAATAAAAAAAAAGGGCAGAAAGGCGCTTGGACGGCACCTTGAGGCGCGCCTCCGCCACCTCGGCGTCTCCGGCGAAGCATTTCGCCTACTCCAGCAAAACAGAGGCGTTTGCCTCACCACCCAGCCTCAAGGGCACCCTAGGCGCGCCCCGAGGCGAGTTCTTTAAAACATTGGTAAAGACACAATATATAGAACCTCCCAGAAAAAGAATATAAGCATACAACTTTAATGAAACATAATAATTTACACTATCTGCTCAATGAGAAACACACTGTTTCTTGAATGCATACATACCTGTAAGAAATCCTCCTGCTTAAAAGGGTCAACCCCCAGAGATGGATACCAAACCTGTAAAAATACACTTCCAACCAGAATAAATATCATAGTACAAACTACTGTGCTTAGAGCACAAAATGGTAAAGCTATACACAGTATCATATCAAAGTCGTACTATGAAACCTCAACGGTCCATTACCTGCATTCCTCGGTGGCCATAATCTAACCATGAAACTTCCTCAATAAGATTTGTTTTCTCCTCTGATTGACCACATGTAACCCAAAATAATTCAATAGAATCAGTAAGCTCCCTCTCACGTCCATCATCCAAATCAAGAAGTGAAAGCTCCCCATTAACTCTCTGTATCAAACACCTAGAAAAACATGCATTCATTCAAAGGCATGTGTCTGCTGATAGATCTCTACAGACTACATTTTGGAGAGCACATACCTCGCAGGCTCCTTTGATAAAGGATCTGAATTAGAAATGTGATTGTTTGAAATGCCCTCTCTTGGAAGCTGATCAGGGACAAAACGCATTGCTGCAGGATGGCTCTTTGCAGTCATAATTGAGAGTTCTCGTACTGTAGAAAGCTGTTTGTCATTTTATCACTTAAAACGTATGCAGAATAATTTTCACTAAATTATTCTCATTTAGTGTGCAAATGAAATCACAAGGGCTCAACTATCTGTAAATAGTACCATATTCTATAAAATTAGAATCATTACAAAAAAAGCTAGCAAACATTCCATTACCTGTAAATTTGGAGTAGTGAAAGGTGTCAATTCACCAAATAACTTGACATGGTATATGTGTACATCAAATGGGCGATATGTGACAAGTATATGCTCTTGATAGACATCCATCACCATTGGTTTAGCCAGCAATGGTTTTCGACAAAGTAGCGAGCTCTGATCAAGATGATATCTTGGATAGAAAAGCAATTCGTAACTGCAATTTTACATCAGACCATTATAAATATCCAACAGTACATAATAAAACAACTAAAAAATTCAACTGTACCAACAGAAAGGATAGAATGCAGACTTAAAATTCTAGACATAAACTGGACTAAAAGTATGAATGGCATAATAGTGTAGGTGCCTAGGCATTTAACCACCAAATCAAACTATGACATTGCTGAAGACAAAAAGTTATCAGAGGGTATACTAATATGGGTAGGAATCTCACGTGTTAGAAGAATCAATGTAGTTGCAGACAACAACAATCTTCCCCATCCATAACAAACCTTTGCACTGAATCTTTTGTTCCTGAGTAATGTCTCCAAACACTCGCCACTTCTTCCATCGTATATCATATATGATTAACCCATGGAGACCAGCAACTGCCAAGTACATTCCATCCTTGCTAGCAGCTACATGTTGAACTGGCCAATTTTGGGAGATATAAGAAACCTGAACCAAAATTTAAAAGAGAAGAAAAAGAAAATTAAACACTCATCAGAAACAACTTTAAAGACATAAAATTCAATCCAACTTACAAAACATCAGATGAGAATAACATATCAAGTATGTGATGTAAAGACATAACTGGAAGGTTAAGATGTAGCATTTTAAGTTCATCAGTATCTTCAGACTGCACAACAAGCAATCGATCATCACCATATATCACTTGACGAACATATGTCATTCCTGAGACTCCTCTGTTAAGGCAACATTTTCCAAAGGAAAATGCAAGAACCCTCTCCAAAGATCTTTCTTCAATAGCATAAAGCCTATATCCATATTCATCCCACTGCATCAGTGAGGTGCCAGTCATCAAAGGTTCATATTTACATTCGTGGATAGGCTTAACCATTGGAGAAGATACTGAACTTAAACCTATTTGACGGATTGTTGACATCAAACGACAACCAGAGACAGACCAAACTGTAAGTCCTCTTAACTTCCACCCAACTGCAAAAGCAGAATTATCAGGTGTCCACGCAATGCAACTGACAGGTCCAGTGTCTTCCATTGAGTATCTGAAAATAAGAATGCCGGGTCATATATCATACATTTTTAGATCTGAAATTTACAACATAATTCAAGTTTTGAACTGTTTGGTAAATAACCACAGCCAGAATAATTGAAAATTTGAAATTATCTGGCCCTGATAAGTTGAAACTCAAATCTACCAAAATACAGTTTACTCAGATCCCACACTTACCCCCAGTCATAAAGAGAGACGGATCGAATCAGTGATGCAGATTCTGCAAGGTCATATAACTCCACAAGCCCTCTTTTGGTACCAACAGCAAGGATTTGTTGCTCTGAAGCTACTGAAGCACATACAGCATCACCAACCCCCAACCTTTTCTCAGCTTTAATAGATTCAACATGTTTTAAACCTTTCTTACTTATAGAACATGACACTAATTGTCCATCAGAATACAACACAAACAGCAACCTCAATGGATAGCTAAGGTCTAGCTGGATAATAGCAGACTTCCGGGAGATGCAAATCGCTCCTGGAACCCCTTTAGAAGCAACACCATTATCTAAAGAATGTGGTGACGGGATAACTTCACTGCCATCACGTGGAAATGGATCTAGATCAAAAGTCCCATAGAACTGTACATGAAAGGAAAATCTCACTCAACACCTTGGTCAAAAAGAGGATAATATATCAGCTCCCTACAGAGAGACATTAGATAGACTACAGTAAGAACAGCTAATGCATATCAATATTTTCTTTTACCTCTCCTTTCCAGGAGATACTATACAGTCCTCCATTAGAAAGTCCAAATAGTATATGTTTGCTATCGCTTACAATATTGCTCCTGAAAAAGAAAAGCCACATTAGAAGAAAAACAGTTATAGTTCCACCAGTAAAAATATCTTGCAAGATTGCTTAATTTGAAAAAGAAATAAACAAATGGATTCATGTGCTGTCGTAGGAACATTACATACCCAAAAATAAATTCAAAATTAAATGTAACTCTGAGAAATAAAGTCAGAACGAATATGAAACTCATGAACTGAAAATTAAATTTATTTACAATACAAGTTCAGCATGTTTGAACATGTGCCCATTAGCACAAAATCTTGTTTATTATTCATACTTTTGTTTGGGGAGTAGAGAGTGAAAGGTGTTAACTGTATTCAAGCATCTAGAACCTGCCTGAGGGTATTTTCATGCAGTTAGTTAAAATGTCTATGAAATATCCGACTCATTTCATTTGATCAACACCTAAATCCTTTATGGTGAATAACTTTATGGACTCAAAATTTTATATGTTATCCAAAGGCAACGACACTTCCATATTAAAACTCCAGTTTTCTAAACATATTCAGGAGCATACTTACACTGCCAAGTCATTTTCTGCAAATGGCACCTGCTCACTGAGAAGAAGAGATATAGAAGCAAGAAACAAACCAGAGGGTTGCTTCCCTCCTAGTTGTATTTTTTTCTCAGTAAACTGGACCTTGAAAAGGTGAAGAAAGAATGACGATGTCTGCCAACAAAAACAAAAACAAACATATACAATAAGTTAAAGTTCAATGTCGATAAAGAAAAAATAGCACATAAAATCACATTTCTCTCATAAATCACTCTTCATGTCTCTTCTCACGACAATTATCTTTTCAGATCATAATCAATAATTCTTTACCTTAAAAGATTCATTTAAACAACAAATAACAGAGGACAAAAGTAAAGTGCACTTATGACAAAACATATTTCGGAAATGGGATCAACAGTTCAAAATATACTCAAACTTCTACTGAAATTTATTGACTTTAGATAAAATTAGATGTCCACCAAATTGACATTGATCAGTTAAACTATTTTGCATTCATTTCCTTTTATATGGTTAAGTGTGGACAGGCAAACTCAAGTTACTCAACAATCCCGGTCACTGCACAATTAGTGATGACCATGAAGGAGCTACCCTTGCACACATAAATAGACACATTGTATAACTTGTTCATGCATTTGCATACACACTTACATAAGAAAGAACATGAATTTGGTATAAAGTACCTACAAAACTAAGATTAAATGCAAAATCAATGAAATACTTACAAGAACGGCGATCAATTTGGCATCAGGGCTCCAAACAGCTTGCAAATTCTCACCTTCCCTCTGCACTGAATCTGAATCCCTCATGTACTTCCCCAGTCTAACTTTATGCTGTATCCCACCAGCCCAAATACACAAAATAAAATGTCAAACACCTTACTAACAAAACCCACATCAAACAAAAGCTCAAATATATACCCACGCACATACATCATTCATATAAAGTTGCATAAGTGCACGCATGTACCCGCCAAATTCACAACACCCACATCAAGAAATAACAAAATACATCAAACCCCCAAAAACCCATCTCAATTAAACAAATGCACTCTGCCCTTTTGATCACTGCACATTTATATCTCCTTAACACCAACATCAATTTCCAAAACCCACAAATACTCATCAAAGTACAAAGCAAACACAGGCGAACCCACATCACGAATTACATAAAACAAACAATTTACTGAAAACACACATATACACATAAATAAAAAAATAAAATAAAAGTATACCTGGGAAGAGCTCCAGAGCTCAAGGTGAGAGGGAGAGACGACAAGCAGCAAGCGATTGATGACCTTGAAGTATATGATCTTTTGGGAAGAAGGGCATTGACCCTGTTCGAGTGGGATGACCTGCGGCCATCCATATGCCATATACATCTTCTTCTTCCTCCTCTTTATTCTTCTTCTTCTTCTTCTTCTATATCTCTGGATTGAATTGCCAATTCTCTGACTTTTGGGTTGGGTTTTCGTGTAATTTGCAAGCGATATAAGAACGTTGGGGACTGGATCAAAGTGGGATTAGAGTCTGTGAGCGAGATATGAATGCATGGCTTCACCCGTCTCAGGTGGATGGATCTCGAGAGAAGAACAAGTTTAAAGCAATTAGTATTTTTTTTCCATTTTTCCTGTGTTTTTATTTCTTTGTTTTCACGTTATCAATGAATACGACCATGATTAATATGTCGTTTTCTAGTCCCATTTTTGTGTGCTTAAAATTAGGGGTGGTTCAGTATGTGATACCGAACTGAAACCTTAGTCCCAATTCCCAAACCGAAATTTTCGGGATTCCCAATTTCAAGACCAATCCCAAACCAATTTTTCGGGAATCCCAATTTTTGGGAATCCCTAAATAGTTTCGGTATTTTTGGGACAATGGGAATCCCGAAATATTTTTGTGCTTTTCGGCTTTTCGGCTATAATAACTTGGCTGTGGCTGTGCAGTGTGCAGAATAGCAAATCGGCACTGCATATCTTGGCAGTGCAGTGATCAAAATTTGGCTGGGCTATAACTTGGCTGTGCCTGTGCAGTGTGCAGGATAGCAAATCTGCACTGCATATCTTGGCTGTGCACTGCATATCATATCTTGGCTGTGCAGTGAAGTGATCATCAAAATAAATTAACAAACTGCTGCCTATTCTACACTCCCAATCTGCCTGTTCTGCTACAAATGCATGCAACAAAAATAAATTAACAAATCCAAAACCAGAGTTTACTAGGTTCCTTCAGAATTTCTTCTACGACTGACATAATTTGAGTCAAAGAAGCGGGATATGAACTTATAGTTTACATGTGTGCAAGTGTTCCCGTGAGTGAGGATCTATGCATGTGCAAACAGTTTAAAAGCACAGATAATGTCATGCTTTGATGACCATTCCAGCAGCATTACATTATGAGCAAAATTTATTTTACCTTGTAAACATAACGAACTGTTCAAATCAAGGTTTCTTTTCTTGTTCTAAATAGTAAAAGAAATCATGATTTCACACCAGGAAGGATAAATCATACACAATTCATATTGGAGATGAATTCGCATAGCCTATAAGAATATATACATAACCATAATCGGTTGAAAAGAACGAATGGGGTACCTCGCTAAAATCCATATAAATGAATTCAAGTAGACAATCAAGATAATTGATTTCTATAAAGAGAAACCATCAAAGCTCACAACTAACTGGTAGAAGACAAGGATCCTAAACACGATAAAAAGAAGGAAAACGTTTTACAAGGAACAAAGAAACAAAAGTAAAAATGCTCTGATTGCAGAAGGTATTTTAGAAAACATTTAAGTCACGCTCCCTCCCCCTTTAACCTCTCATTCCCTCTGCAACCTCTCCGTCGATTCAAAATCCCTAATTCCAAAAGCCCTAATTCAGAAACCCTAATTTCAGAAATTCCTAATTCAGAAACCCAAATTCAAAATCCCTAATCGAATTTGGAATCAAACAATTTGTACGAACTTTGGTTGAGTTTATTGCAGGAATCTCTTACCTTTTGCAGTGAGGAGGAGTGCGGACTGAGACCAAGAGCTCGATTCAGGAGCCGAAGAATTCGGGTGGTATGGACAGTGGGTGAAGGCGCGATTCAGGTGAGGAGTGAGGACTGGTGTGGGTAGATTCGGGATTCAGGCGACGGATGTGGAAGGAGAGACAAATCGGCGAGGAGAGTGGTACGGTTCCGTTCAGAAGATACTGAGGTGAGGTCAGGTGACGTGAGGTGAGGTTTGAGTCTGAGGTGAGGTGAATGTCGAGAGACCGAGAGAGAGGGAGAGACTGGGTTTGATAACTTTTATTTATATGCAACGGTTGAGATTAAATTTCAACAGAATCCAACGGCTATTAAAATTGTAAGTATATATTTAAAAATTGAATAATATATATATATTATTTTTTTCGGTTCGGTTTGGGATTACCAAAATTTCAAAAACTTGAGACCATTCTCGTACTGAAATTTTGAGATCGATTTGATATTAGGTACCGAAATTAAATAATACAACTGATTGATAAAAAATTCAAGTTTTCAACTAATTGTATAATTACATTTTGTGTATCGAGTCATATTCATAACACATTAAAAATCTCTCTAAGAGCCCGAGTCTTTTAATTGAACATGTGTCCCTTACTCATTATTCCCTCGAATTGGAATATTTTGTCTATTTCCTCAATGAATTTTTGGACTCAACAGTTGATTTGTTTCCTAAACTTTAATTAAACTAATATTTTCATTAGTGTTATATTTAACAGCATTTATCTATTTTCAGTCATTATTTATTTTTAGAAAAAACAATGATGGAATTTCATTAAAATAAATTTATTTGTACCTATATAATCTTTTTTACATTAAACTTACGCTTTACACTTGTATTATTTTTATTTAAAATACTAATATCTCTTCAAACCCAAATTTACTATCTAAATTACCTTAAAAAAATCTAATTCAAAATGTAAATTTATCTTTTTCATAAAAAAAAGTAAATTTATCTTTACATTCATTTAGAAAATAAATCGAAAATTGAATAATTTAGTGAAGTTTCTACTTGTTTATTGGAGTGAAGCTTTCTGGAGTTCGACTTATGTGGATTAGTTGAATAATTCGGTTAAGTTTTTACTTGTTTATGGATCTTCCATATTATTGGGGTTCACATAACTTGAACAATGTGGCCCATAATGGGAATTGGATATGTGATCCTTTTGACTAGCATCCTATACTACGCTAGGAGAAACGCTAGGGGCGTCGAGTATAACAGGCATCAAATAACACATTGGATTACTATTTCGTTGACTTTTTGTAGCTTTTCTCACTATGCACCCCCAATTGAGAGTAGCTAGGTTATTTTACGAAAAATCAAAAGGTAAATGCAAATATTCATACATAATTGAAGTTAACATTTTTTTTAAGTGAAACTACATATGCATATTCCCAAACAAACACTAATCAATATCAAGAAATTATGCAGTCCAAAATTGTTGTAGCACCTTCAAATACAAGCTTGAAGGAACTCTCCAGTTTTAATAGTCTCATTGCGCCGAATTATTGTGACGATCCGTCCGTAATTTTCCTATGTAATTTCTCCCCGAGTATGTGTATTGACGGTTATGCCCTTATTGGCAAGTAACGTGGACGTATTCGTATCGCTTTTATTCTATTTCTCGCTACTATATCTAAATTGTGCACGTTGTTACGAGTGTACGATAATTTTTTTATAGTGTGAAAACACTATTTTGGATAGATTTTTATACCCCCCTTTTTCTGTACAAATATAAAACCCTATCCCTAGCTTTTACCTAGCCCATCATGTGCACCCTCCTCCATTATTCACTCTCTCACCAATCACATCTCCCCCTCATTTCTGTCCCCCAATCAGAAAAGAGAAAAAGGAACTATTTTTCTCTCTCATCCCCCATCTCTCTCTCCCGTATGCTTTCTCTCCCTGCAAAACCTTCAAACGAGCTTCAAAGCTCACAGATCGAAACCAAAAACCACACCATTGTACTGATCTCATCTTCACGATCATAACCATGTTCTTGAAACCTGGTTTAGACGAGTTTTGACTTGTTAACTCGTGAGGTCCAAACTCGGGCACATTGAGTTTGACGTGTTTTCGAACGAGTTAGGACGTGTTGAAACTTGGGAAAGCTTCTACACGTCATTCTAAAGGTCCTAGGCTTGTTTTGGAAGAAGGTCGACGTGAAACGACCGAGTTTCGAAGAGTTCACTTTTGGTCGGAACTTTCGAGGCTTTTTCCGACGACCTCCGTCCACTTTTTGGACTCCAAACATGTATAACACGATTCTACTCTTTCCTAGCTTCAAATCCATATATAGTACGTCGAAAATGGTTGAGAAATGAAGGAGAATAGTGAATTTGAAATTTTTCCAGAAATCCGGCGAAAAACCGAGTTGCAGACGGCAGCGAATGGCGGAGACAACGAGGCTCACCAGAGAAGGAGGCGGAATATTCCTAACGGCGTCAGGTAACGCCGTTAACTTCTGTTAGCTTTTAATGGAATATTCCTGACAGACGTCAGGCACTGGCCTACGCGTGGGGCATGTCTAGCCGTGCCCTTGATGGCGCGTGGGGGCACATGAGCCGTCCAAAAAAATTTCTGAAAATTTGAGGATGTTTGTGACGTCGAGTAGGTCACGATGGTATATTTAAACCCTAGGTTTGAGCAAACTATGGGGGTTTTATTTAGGTTTCCGTATATGTGCTTTAATTAATTTTATTTTAGTTATTTCACATATAGGGGAAACGTATCTCGAGGACGTTCGAGGCCAAGCTAGGCTCGGGGGTTATGACCCAGCAACGTATTTGTGAGTGGGCAGTTTATTTTTATATCTATATGTATTTATAGTTTCCAAATTTCATAAATACACCACTTTATGTATATATTGCCAAATAATTGATAACTACAATATAATTGTGATAAATGCTGCTATATGGTTGAGATATTACTGTCATGGCATTCATACATATTTGTACATGCTCAACTTGCTGCACCGCGGTGTTAGTACTCGCTCTAGGGCCAGGGCCAGTCCTTCACATGTATGTTCACATCGCACCATTCGCTCGCCTTTGATCCAAGTTCGGTGTCAGTCCTGTCGGGTAGATTGCATTAGAGAATCCGACTTATATGTGATGTGCTTATGCACCAATCTTCACGTGATCGTAGTACTAGAGCATATTGATTACACTCAGTCATGTTTGTGTCAGAAATTATCTGCTCGAACTCGTGTGTCAGCTTAAATGGATGAGCACTTAGTTATACTTGATTTTCACATAACTATATTATTATGGCATTTGATACATCATGATTTGGCATACTTCTGGTTATATAGTGTTACATTATTGTTGTTTTATTGTTGACATACTTACGTTGTGTGTTTTAAGGAAACTATACTTGTTTTACGGCGAGGGGTTAATATATTCGAAAATAAAAGATTTTCCTTTAAGCATTGTTTTGCTGACCCAGTCAACTTTGTTTTTCGCTCCTTCAGGACCTAGCACTCGAGGGATCGCAGTAATTCTGACATTCTCTTCTGATTTGACGTACAAACTTATCACTGTTGTGTAATAAGTGTACTTTAGTTACCTTGACTACTTTTTGTTGGAAATGTGCCCTAAAACCAATCATATGATGATACTTTACGGACATTTCACATGTTAAACTAATCTAGTTTAATATCAAGGGCAAAGATTATTGTTTGAGCCGTCTCATATAAATGTTATATGCTTAAACGATAAGTCCAAGGAATATGTGATTGGGAGAATGCAATCTAAAGAAGTTAGATTCATGAGACCATTCTTTCGTAGACACATCCTAAACGTTCCTGATCATAGGATTGCCAATTGGGCATCGACAGTCCGTTAAGATCAGTACGTGTTGTGTCTTCTCTCAGGGAGAGTGACTAGTCTCGAGTCATTGGTGTGTGTGACATCAAGATAAGTACGTAGGTGCTCAATAGAGAATGAGTTCACTGAACACGATCAACGAAGAGTTCTCATATTCATGTCACATGAGAACTCATGGTTGGGATAATGCAAAGTAGTCCTTTGACCTAAGGCATCATAGTTGTCTTGTGGTTAAGTCCTTGATCTTTGATTATGTCAAAGTCACTCCATCAGGAGGGTGTCCACGGCATAGTTGGGGTTAAGCCACTTAGCTATGGAGGCAAGTGAATGCGCAACAAGGGATCTCTAACCTTCAAACCGTTTGAGGGAGAATACTTTATGATATGATTAAGAATCTCTAGCCAGAGTATGAATGAGATTTAGGAAAGTCGTTCCAAATCACATTCAAGGTAATCATATAAGCACACGAATTACATCGGATAGTAGACATGAATAAACTATCAAACCAAACAATGTGGTCAAGAGTATTGTATTAGAGAAAGACCGTATTGCATTTGTAATCCTAAACTGAATAGGTTCTCTACCTCTTCTGATTAGCTTGGGTAACCATGATATGCTGCTAGGTGTCACTCTTAGTTTGTGGAAGCCCTAAACGTGTATAATCACTGAAGGGAGAATTGAAAGTAAGTTTCAATTCACAATCGATGTGAAATGGTTTTAATCGCCCACTGCCTCGCTAAAAGGAACCTAATGAATCGTACACCGTGTAAGGTGAAGATTGAAGAAACAATGGAGATGAGTAAGAATAATTAAATGGTTTAATTATTTATGGCAAGGATTAATTAATATGTTAATTAATCAAACGAATAAGTTCATTAAAGACATCGGGATAGTTTTGGACCTTAAGGCCCAATGGGCTTCGAACGTCAAGCCCATTGACTTAAGTTGCATGACAATTTAATGAATAAAGATTCACAAAGGCCCAAAAGCCCAAATCCCTTATATGGCCGGCCATGTGTGTTGAATTAGGGTTTTTGGTTCTTTAGGTCATTTAAAGAAGTGACTATATAAAGAACTTTATAGCCTAAAATTCATTAAGGATTTCTTTTGGAGAAAATTGGAGATAGCATGTCTCTCCCTTTCTCTCTAAAGAGGCCGGCCTCCTTGGAGGGTGTAGCTAGCAATCCTACTACTCCAAGGTCACTCATTTCTTCTCCAATCTAACCTTGGTGAAGATACTTAAAGGTTCTCAATTTTGGGAACTTGGAGAAACCTATTCTTCCATCCAAATCCATAGATTTTAGATGCAAGGAATGAAGGCCCTCTCTTTGGGTGATTAGCCTTTGCTTATGCAAAGAGGAATCTACAAAGGTATATATTTCTCAACTCACTTTGATTTGAGTTGAGTCTTGGTTCA